TAAAAAGTTCTTACAACAGTTCATAATTCATAAGCCCGAAACAATCTTGTCCCTCTCTAACCTCTCTGCTTTTGGCTCCATCTTCTTTGATCAGTCTACCCCAGCTATTGACCTCTTGTCAATCCCTACACACTGAACATGATCCTGCCTCAGAGCCTTGGCATATACTGTTCACTCTGTCTGAAACACTCTTCTTCTAGATACTGCCATGACTCACTCGTCTCCAAATCTCCTAAAGAGGCAAGGATGGTGAGACTTCACCTGCCTTACTTTGGATAGTCTGACCCCTGACTATCATACTTGGTATGACCCTCAATGGATGAATCAATGCCATGGATGCGGCAGTGAAGATGGTGCAGGACCAAGCAAGGTTTCATTCTGTCATACATGGAGTTTCTACGACCTCAAAGTGGCTTGATGATGGCATCTGATGTCTCTCCATCACTCTGTCAGAATTCTCAATTTCTCCTAATACAGCTCTGAGAGTTCCCCCCCCAGAGTATTTATCATAGCTAATAAACTCTATAATCTACTTATTACATTGATAGTCTGGCTTCCCTTCTCTAAGACAAAAGCTCCACAGAAGGTGGTAAACAAGGATCCATGTGGCAAGTACTGGCTAGATGAGGAAGCTGATGTGGATGTTCCTGTAACTTCTCCCACAGGCTCAGAAGGCAGAGACCACCTCATTAAAAGGCTCCATTGGTAGCTCTACTCGAGTGAGAGTCCTGCATTTCCTTCCCACTGCTTCTCATGTTATCCTTTGTCTCTTCATGGTAAACCTCTGCCTGTCAGGATCCCTTTGAATGTATAGAGCCCAGAACTAAGGCAGGTTAAGAAAAAAAAAAGCGGTTCAAATCCACCAGATGCTCTGCTGGAGAAGGAGGGGGCAATCTCCTCCTGTACCAGTCAGATCTGATTTGATGGTACACGTAAAAATAATACAATAAAAAAAAATTTAAAAAAGAAAAAAATACTTCTAATTAAAGAAACAGTCAGTGGAGACATCTGGGAAAAGAAGAAGAAGATCCAAGGAAGAGAGACTTGTTTTCTCTCCCAGGGGCCATCTGATACTGGCCAGTTCCACTGAGATACTCCTTCCATCAACCTTCCTCTCACTAAGCAGCATGGCAGCTCCCAGGTTCCTTTTTTCCCCCCAGAGAAATCAACAGGTCTACAGGGGTAAGCACAGATCCAGAAAAACGGTTTCTGTGACACCTGGAGATGGGAAAGGACTGGAAACCAGAGATTATGTGCCACTCTCCCCACCTCAACAGTGAGCAGTTAACATTATTTCTGGCATTCATCCTGTATCTCAACATGAAGGCCAGACCATAGCAGGAGCCTGGGGGACTTAGTGGGCAGCACCTGAGACTTTGGACACTTCAGAGACAGAAGTAAGTAAAGTCAAACCCACGGCAGACAGCATTAACTTCAAGGGGAGGAAGCTTAGTGGTCTGCAGCAAGATTATGAATCACAGGACCACACAGCCTCATGGGATTGACAGTCCAGTGAGAAGCCCCACTCTGCCCAACCTGGCAGTATGACTCAATGTTGGCTTTGTCCATTGCGGTCATTGTTTATTTTCAGCCCGTTTCAGCAGGGGATGGCTTCTTGGTCAAGCCAAAGTCTGATTTGCCGGAGGGACAAACATGGCACAGTGCCCTGAGAATATTAAATAATATTTACAAGAGGTGACGATGGGAAAATAATTACTGGTGCTAAGAGGCAATCAACAGCAGGGAACTCCTCCACTGCTCAAGCAGTGAGAAATTAGATGGAGCGAGACCTGAAGCAGTGTGGGCTTGTCACAGGGACAGTAGAAGGGGTTGGAAAGTCACTACCTCTGCCGATTTTGTTAATAGGATAAGCCAGCCTTGCAAATAAGAGCCAGACCCCGGGAGGCCTACATTTGAGGGGTTTCAAAACCAGGCCAAATGCTGCCAATAGGTTCACTTTTAGATGTGTCAGAAATGGAAGGGAGCTTACAGATCAGCAATGCCACTGCTTCTATTTGGAAGGCTCCTGCCTTCCAAAAATACTGCAAGTATTAAGTAATAATTACCGTATTTTCCCACATATAATACACCCACATAAATAATGCACACAGGCATATGATTTATGTAGTGTGCATAGGAAAAAATTTGAGGGTTAAAAAGCACCCCACCCTAGGGGAGCTCTGGTGGCCTAGTGGCAAGGACCTGAAACTACAATCCCACAGGCGCACGGTTCGAATCCACCAGATGCTCTGCCTGGGAAGGAGGGACAATTTCCTCCTGTACCAGTCAGATCTGATTTGATGGTACACTCACACAAAAATAATAAAAATTTAAAAAAACCCCAAACACCCCACCCTGTAAATTTATGTTATTTTTATGACACAGTATTTGCTTTTAATTTTTTTCCCCCATCAAAGACGTAGAGAACGCTGCCAGCAGGATAGGACCTGGAGTTGCTGTTATTCCAGCCACAAGCAAGAGACCTATTGTTTTTCTTGCAGTCCACCCATATTATTCCAAGTGCATATTCTCTTTTGGGGTAAAAATACCCCAACATTAAAACAGCACAAAGACTCACTTATAAACAGGATCCTGAAGAATCTGTTATCAGAAACAGAATCCAAATCAACTCCCTTGTTTTACACACACAGAGACTAAAGCCTGGGGTCCCACAGCAGGCTGCCTGGAAAGCCAAGACAAAATCTAGTTGATCATCATGGAGAGGCAGACTACCCTGGACAGACAAGGACCAGGAGACTGTAATGTAAAGTAGTGGACACAATGGCCAAGGCCATGGACACCAAGAAATTAGAGCTTGACGAGTATTCTTAATAGCTGTGTAACCTCAGCAAAACAATTTAAGCTGAGCCCACTTTCTCATTAGTAAAATGTGACAATAGTACTTATCATATATGACTGTTGGAAGAATTAAGTGAAATAACAAAACACTTAGTAAAGAGTACCAACTTTTCTTTAACCCCTAGTTTAAAAAAGAAAGAGAAGACATGGGAAGACTAACAAGTCTGAGAAGCAAGATCACATGACCCAACTTCTAGCTGTCCTGACAATTCTAGAGGGAGACAAATTCTGTCCCAGTGGAGTTTCAGTGCTAAGCATCACATTGTTACTTCTACAAGATGTTTCTCAAAAATCAATGTATTTCAGAATTCAAGCCCCATGCAGATTCATCTGTAACTGTGCAAAGCAGGACTCAGGAATCTGCACTTTTAAATTATTGTGGAATATAACTCATACATCGTCACATTCACCACTTTAAAACGTACACGTTAGTAGTTTTAAATATATTTGCAAGGTTGTACAACCATCATTTTCCTTACCCCAGAAAGAAACCTCATATCCACTGGCAATCTCTCCCCATTCCAGAGTCCCCTCCCTTCTGGCAACCACCAATCTACTTTTTGCTCTATGGAGTTGCTGGCTATTCTGGACGTTTCATTGAAATGGAATCATAAAATAGACGGCCTTTGTGTCTGCCTTCTTTCATTTAGCACTATGTTGTAAAGGGTCATCCATGTTGTAGCACGAATCAGTGCTCCATTCTTCTGGAATCTGTACTTTTAACAAGCTCGCCACGCAGTCTTTTGGGGGAGAAATAAATAGCCAATTCACATAAGGTGAAGCTGCAGAGTATTATGAAGGCACAAGGCCTCATTCCTCTTTTGGGTGCTCCCTGTTTCAGCTGTCTAAGGGTAACATGAGGCAATGCTGGCTGCTGGCCTCCTGCAGGACTGAGAGGGCCAGTGATGGGTTGAGCAGGGTTTCCTGGGTGTTCAGTAGGCGATGAGTCCAAAGACAGTGGCCCCACTGCTTTGGCAACTGAGCAGAGTAACAAGACTCATACAAGTGATTTTGTTTAAATGCAAATACTTTAATGTATATTACACTCTTTGGGGGGAAAAAAACAACAAAAAAACTTCCAAGGAAACAAGTGGAACAAAAATCTTAATCAGCAAGGATTTTAATTAAAAAACCGGATGCAAGTCCCAATTCTGGGGAGAGGAAAGCACAGAGACTCAGATCCATGAACAGTAGTTTGAAGGCAGGATGGCAGGACCAGTGTGGCTGTCCAAACATACAGCACAATGGTCATGCCCTCAAGACTCCTGGGCAACTGGAAGCATTGACTGAATGGCTGACAACTCCACAGCAGGACTGGGCAGACTCAGACTGACTCAGGTCCTCTCCAGAGTACTGAAGAAAATGCACAAAACTTCAAAAGGGCCTCAAGACTGCCCAGGGCAAGAACCTTTCTTTTTGTTGTGGAATCTTTAGGCCTGAAGAAGCAGTCCCAGTGGCTACAGTAAGTCTGAAGAGTCTCCCTTTGATATCTGAGGCCTCAGAATGGGACAGAAGGGAGATAAGTGGCACCAGAGAGGCTCCCGAAGCTAGACACCACATTAGTCTTGGGATTACCCATTGGTGCCTCTGGACCTGAGAATGGGATTTAGTTGGGAAAGATAGAGTTGAATACTTGTCAGACTCAATCCAACTGTATCCAATGTTACCCTCTTCCCAATCTGGGGCTCTTCAGAACTAAGTGGCTCACATATTCTGTGATATATCCCATTCAACACAAGCAGGCAGAAATTCTAGTTCTTTTCCCCACTCCCCATTACTCTGTCTAAAAAAAATAAAGCCACCAGCGACCAGTTCAGACGTTCTGGGCAATCCAGGATTTCTTGCAATTGGGTCTCTTATGCTTTTGGTTCAACTTCTCATTTCAAAGGAACTCATTGCTGCTGAAACTCAGTCACATTAGCACCAATAGCGAGCTGATGGGGCATGTGCTTTCAGGATGAGTCGAGCTTCCTGTACACTGAAGGAAACTGTTTACTAATGAAGAAGGAAACTCTGGCTCCATTTCTGCAGAATCTGGTGGAACTGCTGCCTGAGCAGGTTCCAGGATCGGAAGGGGTGACTGAAGAGGCCAGGCTGTAACTGTGTAGGAAGGGATCCCACGACTGAGAGTATTTCCAGAGTTAGCCAGTCTCAATGCCCTCAGGGAGCTCCACCACCACTGGGGCGCAGTCCTCGGGCTCTGCAGCGAAGTCCCACCGGAACTTCTTGGTCAGGTGAGCTTGGAACTTTTCAGCTTTCCGCCTCAGGGTGGCATCCATGGCAACACCGCAGGCTGAGGAAAAGAAAACCTACAGAGAACAGAGGATAAGTCACTCTTGAAAACACAGAGGGGGCCGAGAAGACTGTGGAAATTTCCTTATGGTGTTCAGCTCTCTGGGGCGAATGGATCAGCTGCTGCTGGCGAGGGCCCAGGACACCTGCTGTGTTCCCCCCAAACCAAGAAAAAAGGTCCAAACCCAGCTGAGAAGCTGGGACAGGACTAGAATGGAAAATTACTACCCTGTGCAAACGTGGATCGGAACCCACATGCCTCACTTGCAGGGACACAGGAGCTCCCCAAAAGTTCCGGTAAAGACAATCCCCAGCCCCCTGGCAGAGGCAAGGCTCAGCCTCGGGGACACATCCCCGGGTAGAGTGTCTGTTATTAAACACCCTGTTAGAGTCTAGCCTAGAAGCTTTTAAATTAAAAATGACTGAGAGTAAGGCCAAAGAGGGCCACCACCCTGAAGATGTACCAGAGTGCCCAATCAGTAACTCAGAGGAAGAAGAAGTAACTATATTAGCTGGTATTAAGACAGACTTGGGGCTCATAAGTCCTTGAAGCCCACAAAATCCCAGGACCCAAGTCAATGGGATGAACTGCAATACTATGCTTTTAAATGGGCCTCAGGCTACCAATCTGAAGCTTCTCTTCTTAAAAGTTGTCTTCATTCACTGTAATCACTGCCGTACGCAGTTTGAATCCACCAGATGCTCTACTAAAGAAGAAGGGCAATCTCCTCCAGTACCAGTCAGATCCGATTTGACGGCACACACACACACAAAATTTTTTTTAAAAGTTGTCTTCACTGTTCTTTATAACTTAGTTTCCTGTAATGCAACATAGGGAGCTCTGGTGGCCTACTGGTAAGGAATTATGCTGCCAATATGAAGCAATGTGGCTCAAATCTGCCAGCTGCTTTGCGGGAGAATGATGAGCAGTCTCTTCCCATGCAATTAAATGCATCTGAAAATCTGCGGGAGGATCAGCTATGAGTCTATTCTGGCGAGAGGGTACATAACACCATCCCCACCAATGCAACATAGGCAGAGGCATAAAACAATTTTCAGAAAACTCCACTCAGTTTGTCTTTGGATCCTAATCTCTTTTAACAACCCCACTAATCCTCCTTATACCACAATATCTATCTTAAGGAAACTGAGGCTAAGAGGAATTAAATCACTGGATCAAAACTATGCAAAAAGGAAGTGTGGCCTTACTCAAGATTGCCCATATGCTACGAAGGACTACTCCACCAACACATGAGCAGGAAAGGAGAAACAGCTCTTTGATATCATTGTCCTCAGTACGGCTGGCCCTCAGTCCACCATGGCATGATTCTGGGTCTAAGACACCTGACAACAAAGGCACTAGAAGGACTCTGCAACTCATTCCAAGAATAACACCTCCACCAACCTCTTCTCCACTATCTTTCTACTGTTGAGATTAAGACTCATTCTCAGTAGTCCTTGTTTGGAGCCATTTTGTTGGAGGGGTAGCTGAGGAAGAAGTAGCAGGGGGAAGTACAGAATTTGGCTTCATTAACTTATGAATTGACTAAATACAGGAGTAGGAGGCACAGCCACAACAAATGTCAGATCAATAACTAATTAGAGAGACTATGTGATCACAGTGGCAAAAGGGCAATGAGGAGGGCCAGTGGCTCGTCTGCAAGCAGCTAATGGGGCCTGCTGTGGAGTGCTGAATTTGGAGCACAGCTGAACTCCGCTGAGGAGGGCCCTGCGCAGAAGCCTTGGTTTTAAACAGCATTAGCTCTGGAGGTCCTGCACACTCATGGGCCCATCCCCAGAGGTCTCAGAGGATTAACAGCAAAAGTCTCTTCCTGTTCCCTTCCTTACAAAGTAAATTGTGTTACTCTCTACATAGCCCTCCTCTCTAGCCATGTTTAGCGGTAGCCTAAACATGATCTATTGCCTTCTTCATTGCTTCTTGTATATATATGTTTTCCTTCTGCTTTTAATATTTTTCTATTCTCTCATTTCTTCTCTTTCATCTAGGTAACTAGGTAGAAAAAAGTGCTCCTCCTTGCTCGCTCAGCACCTGAGGTTACCGAAATTACAGCTTCAATCTCAGTAACAGTCCATTTACCATCGATCTCTCCCATAAGATGAGGACTGACTCCAGAGGAGCAACCCCTTTTTATACCTGCATGCCATACTCCTGGCACAGAACCCAATAGGTTAAAAAGCACCTAACACATTTGGACAAGAACAAACTGGGAGGAGGGTAGAGAGAATAGTGCAACAATGAATGAATGGAAACCCAAAATCTCTGTAAATGTTTATGAAAATTAATAAAATATGGAAAGGAAAAAAAGCACCTAACAGATGGCTTAGATGCTACGAATATTCACTTTTTGTTCACTTTTGCACACTGCCTGGCACAAAGTAGTTGCTCAGTAACTATGTGATGCTATTAAACAGAATAAGGGTCTCACCAGGCACTTGCAATGTCACCAACTCACAAGCCACTTCCTCTGTGTGGCATGCCTCTTACAAAAGCCCAAGTTGAAAAGAACGGCTCCAGCCTCTGCGTTACCTGAGCTCTTTGCCTGAGCCCCCTTATGGCATTTACTTCACTGTGCTTGCATCACAGTGATCAGTAAGCCAGGAAAACATTCTGATTATCAATGTAGCCCACACAGCATATCGCCCAAGGACTGACACAGAATTAGGGCCTACACTGTATTTAGTAATGGCTGGCAATAAGAGGCTGGAATAAGCTGGCCTTATTCAGTTATCTTTTCCATCAGTTGCAGATTACCCCACAGTCAAGGTAGGCATAGACTTACTGTGCTTACTTACTAATCCTTAAGTAATTTCAAACCACATATAATTCTTACCACACCAAAAGTCTTGCCTCTAAGAATGGCGGGTATCTCTCTGCAGCATTTACCCACAGAATCAAAACTTTTTCTTTACAAATCTGCAAGCTGAGAGCGATGGAGTATTTAGCTAGCAAGGTAAGCAGCACAAACTTATTTATCTGTCCTTCTTAACTTGCTAACTTGTGCTTGCTTAGTGAGCACAACAGATCAATGAGGAAGGACAAATAAGCCTGCGCTTACCTTACCTGTTGGGTAATCTACCTCTGCTTCCCTCTTACCTCCCCAAAACTGCCTGACACTAAAATGAACTAGTAAAATAAAAATTGTCTAAAAAACCAAGTCTTCTCATTTGAAAAGTGTTTCATCTTTTTAGAGAACTTGCCAATTTAATCTTTATTATAAACCTTATAGGTGGAAGGAAGACCAGAGCATTATCGATCCACTTGTAGAGCCGAGAACACTGAGCATGTCACATCAGACAGTGACAAATATTAGTGAGAAGCAGTTCAAGTTGAGAAATCTTATTTTAATATCTTTTCCCCTATCAAGGCCCTTTTTTTTTCTTGACATATAAGTAATGCATTCTAGTTAGTTATATTCTGGCATCACTCTATGTGGCACTACTTAGAGGGTAGGTGTTTCTAGAATAGTCCCTGCTGCAGTGCCAAGGACTCAAGGTTCAGTCTTTTAGGTTTTAACACCAACTTTACTGAAATATATACCAATAACACCGCTCACGTCAAATGTTCAATTCGCTGTGACAAACATACATACCACGCAACTACTCCATCACCTTAAAAACTCCATTCTCCTGTCCTTTCCAAACTTTCCCCTTATTACTACGCCTGGTATCCACTGATCCATTTTCTACTGTAGTTTTAAAAATTTGCAATTTTAAAAAAATTCCTCACAATTCATTAAAGTTTTGTAGATTATTCCTAATTTTCAAGTAATAATTTACTTTGAGTTTCCTGCTTTCAGATTAATGTTATACCTTCTTCAAAAAAATTGGGAGCTCTGGTGATTTAGTGATAAGAAGTTGTGCTAGAATCTCAAAAGCACATAGTTTGAATCCACCAGCTGCCCTATGGGAGATGGATGGGCAATCTTCTCCCATGTGATTTATTGCCTCTGAAAACCCACTGGAGGGTTAGCTATGAATCAGTTCTGACTCAACAGTACTCAACAACACGTCAAAAAATTTAATAATGATCTGATTATTTTATTTACTAATGTACAATCAAGTTAATATTTTTTAACACTGAGAAATGAATCATCATTATACTAGCAGATTAACCCTGGATATTTCAAAAATACTTTCGAAATAAGATAACATTTTGCAAACAACTGGTCTAAAACAAAAAGCACACCCACTTGGCATTTTTCTTCAAACAAAAAAATCATTACTACTTCAACCATAAGGTTTATGTATTATTAAAAAAAAACGGAAATTAGTCATAAATGTAAAAGCTTTTTAAATCCAAATTAGATAAATTCAGTTCAGGCAGGTCACCTTGAGAAATTAAAAATATCAAGGAAGATAGCTGACTCACTACTTTATCTTTATTTTTGGCTAGAGAAACAAGATGAAATTTCCTAGTTTTTTTCAATTCCCAAAAGATTATCAACTTAGAATGAAGCTAACCTGAGGCAGAACATTTTATTTCCACTTTCAGAAGAAGAAATGGTGTTAGAAACAAAAACTGTCACTTCATAATGAAAATGGGAAGGTGAAAAACTCTAGGAATCAAGTACACTAAGTGCAGTTAACAGAGGCTGGTTTAAAGAATTAGAGAATTGGGGCTCTAATCATACGGTTGTTGTTGTTGTTGTGTACCACTGAGACAGAACCAGCCCATAGCTGACTCTCCAGCAGGTTTTCAGAGGCAGTAACTGCATGGGAAGATATTACCCATCCTTTCCCAAAGAGCAGCTGGTGTATTCGAAACATGTGCTTTTAGAATTGCAGCACTGCTTCTTGACACTAGGTCACCAGACCTCCCTAATCATATGGTTGCCCACCATAAGCTTTAGAATTCAAAGCTCAGCCTTGCAACCCACTAGCTCTGTGATCTTGTGCAAAATTATGTTACCACCTGATCTTGTTCCACATCTGTGGATTACATGTGAGACTATATACCTAACTTCTCCCACTGTTCTGAGTGCCAAACAAGATAATGCCCAGCAAGTGAGAGAAAGTGACAGCAGGGAGCAGGAGATAATTTATCACCTCTGATATTATAATATAAATACTAGAGATATCATTGCTAGAACCAATGGTTTCCTTCCAGAATTAAAGATGGACACTGGCATTTAGAATATAGGCAAGAAATGAAGTTGGAAATTATTTATACACAAAGAAAAAACCCCAAACTGGTTATATGACTGTATGCATAAATGCCGTGCACTCAGAATAAGAACTCTTACTCTGTATATAAGTAACTTTCCCACATGTTATTAAATTCAGATTACCCTTTCAGTGGTTCTAAATAAATTAAGGTGATTTAAATTGCTTTATAAAAACAAAACTCTATTAATTTGTGCAAAGTAAATTATTTTTATTCAAGCTAAATCTAAGGGATTTGTAAAAACTAGTGGCATCTATTCAAAAGGGATTCACATGGGAAAGGCTAAAAAAATTAAATTGCAGAGGCCATTACGAGGCTGATTTTATACAACCTAACGAAGCCGTCTTTAAGTGCTTACATGTACAAACATCAGTTCCTCTCCATGGGTGAGTAGCCATTTAAGCTCCCCAATAAGCAAGCAAGCCAATTCCACTTACTTGACTACCTGGGGGGAGAGCAGGAGGCTGGCTGAGGAAGGCTTTTATGGGCTGATTCATTCACTCACAAATACTCTGAGTGAATGCCTCTGTGTGTGGGACTGGATTATCACTGCCAAGACAGGATCAATGTGACTTTCCATTATCAATTTTAAAAAAAGAAAAAAAGTTTTTAACATCTTTTCCAGATTATGTCTGTTAAAATCTCAGTCATTTCTTAAGACAAATGTCCCTTTCACATAAAATCACTGCTGATAGTCTATTACCTCAAATCTCAATCCCAGCCAGAATGACCATGACCTCTTTGGCACTCCTAATCCCTGTTGGTCAGATTTCACTATTATCTATGAGATTATAGCCATCCATCTATGAGATTATAGCCATCCATTTAGTTTGTCATAAGAATTATGTGCTCCTTCTGTCTAAAAGCAAGCAATAACACAAACTTGGTAGATGCATGGCCTTGTACAAGGTGCTGAAAATAACCAGGTGAACAAAACACTAGGTCTTATTTAAAGGAGTGCAGGGCTCAGTGAGGGAGCCAGAAAATGTTTTCATTTCAGCAAGCACAATCCATGCAATGTAACAGTGGTAAGTACAAGATAGGCTACTAGGATGGTAAGGAGACAAAGATTAGAGATGGCTTCACAGACAGTAATGCCTTGAGGGCACCTTGTAGGATGATCAAGTACACACCAGGCAGATGGAAAATCAGGTTCAATCAAGAAAGCATGAAACAGCAAGGCATGTCTGGGAACTTACAAAAAAGCCTCTGTCTCTAGTGCTAGTAGAAGAAAATGGGGAAAGAGGAAGAGGAAGCTGAAGTCAGGCAGGAGTCAAATCAGAATGGGCTTTGTGACCTGTTTGGAATATTAATTTTCTAAGCAATGAGAAACCACACTAAAAATTTCAGAGAAAGAAATTCACAGCTGCATTTGGAGCAGCTCCTCAGGAGGCGAAGGCTGGGAGACATCGTGGCTGACATACCTGGATGCAACCTAGACGAGACCAAAAGGCCTGGCAGTCTAAAATACTATTCACAATCTGCAATTATTCGGTTAATTACTTTACTATCCCATCCAAATAGGAGTTCCAAGCCAAGGGCTCTGTTTTGCTCATAACAATATTCCTAGTCCTAGAAAAAAGTCTACATAAGACCAAGCACAATAGGAGGTTGGTCAATACCCGCTAAATCAATGAACAAATCTCTCAAGGGCAGGAACCCTATCTAACTGATAGATGTGTTCCTCAACACTTTTTGCAGTACACCATATACAATGAAGGCTCAAAAACATGTGCTAATACATTTTTTTCAAACACGCTTGTCCTAGATTCTTCCAAATAATGACATCAAATTACCTTGGTGAAAAGTTCAAAGACAGAATTTTTCCAACCATCAGCTTCACATACCCCACCTGGGCATCTAGGAATCCAGCTGGGACCTTTCTGCTTCATAAATCATTGCTGGCAACAAAGCCTCAGCAATTAGAGCTCAGCTGTCGGATGTGCTGACAATGGGCGGGACAGCCAGCTAGAGACCCAGTATGGCCTCCATGTTGGCGTGACAACATGAACTGCATCAGAACAGCACCCCATCCCCAGAGCTGGAGTTTCCTTGTAAGGTTCTACAACCTATAACTCAAACTCTGGGGGAGATTTTCCTTGTATGATGAATAGAAAGCTCTAACTTCTATAGCAAAAGCTAATAAAAAGGCAGTTTTAAAACTTTTCTGAGCTGGAACACACAGGGCTCGAACCATCAGCTTGATGGATTCATGCCCCTGGTCTGCACAAGTCCTCCAGCCAGAGTTTTAAGTTAGCTGCCTACCCACAGGACCCTGCCAACAGTAGGCTGGTTTTAGAAGACAGGTCTCTGATGATGTCTCCACTAATGTCAACCAAGAATCCTCTTGGGTACACCTATATAGTATTCAGTACCTATAGATATATAAACATAGACACTAAACAAGATTCAGGCGGGCGTACAAATGCCAACTCTGCCACTTACTACTGATGCTCAATTTTTAAAAGTGAAGGGGGGGGGGGGTGAGGATCAGGAATGATCTGCCTTGCCTCACAGAATTCCAAGAAGATGAACTGAGGGAACCCACATAATGTGATAAACATAGTGCGTAATGGTCAACAGACACTTTTTGCATGTTCATTCCTTCCCTCAGCCTGAGTGGGAAGTTAGTGAAGAACCACCCAGTATGAAGCTAGTCTCACGGGGATCTCATACATAGGATGAGAAAGTAAGGAAACTGACAGCTTGCAGCTTTTGCCTCTCCTATACTTTAGAAAGTTACAAAATGTGAGTGGTAGAGGCTGTCCCAAGTATATAAAGGAGGATAATCTGTTTGCAAAGGGAGGAAATAGCACAAGATGAAGATTGTAAATTGTTTGAAGCTTTTTCCCTAATTACCACGCATAATAAAAATTTAATTGCTAAGTTAAAAGCAAATTTCACTTTTTCTGTCAGAGAATCTCTGCAGAAACTGGCACATTTTCTTTGAACAGGAAATCAAAGTTACTTTAATGCTTAAATGAGATCTAAGAAGCTGCAGATGTTTCAATGGGAATAACAAGCTTCAAAATTCTGCTCTACTGGGTTGCAGCAACTTGTAGCTAAAGGTAAAAAAAAAGCAAAAACAAAACAAAAAGACAAAATTGTTTTAATCTGAGTAACTCAAATGAGTGGAGAGGATTAATATTCTAAATACCCTAATTCTAGGTACTCTGAGGGTGAGATGGAACAGGGTGGTGCCCAAGAGTCTCCCTAGCAGCAAAGACCTTACAATCAAGCAGAGAGAAATAGAACAAGAATAGCCTGAAATCGGGAAACTGAAATCAGAAAACCTCTGCGTCTTGGAATAAGACTGAGAAAAAAGTGCTTTTCAACTTGGTCCTAGTCTTATGGTTCCTGAAAAGAAAAGTGAGAGGGCAGTTCTGCTATCACTGAAGTGGTGACCAGAGAGACCACCATCAACATTCATGAGTGCATCTGTGGAGTGGACTTCAAGAAGCGTGTCCCTTAGGACACTCAAGAAAACAGAACATTTGCCACAAAGTAGATGGGAACACCAGATATATTCATTGACACCAGGTTCAACAGAGCTTTCTCAGCCAAAGAAACAAGGAATGTCTCACATCACATCACATCTGTGTATGGCTATCCAGAAAATATAGTTAGGATGAAGATTCACTGAACAAGGTCTCTACAGTGGTTACCGATATATTCATCACCATTTTTAAAAAAACCTATCATGAACGTGGATGAAAATAGCTGATTATTAAAGCCATAAAACAAGTTAAAGAACACAACCCTCCTGAGGATCCTTCCAGATACCCTTACTTTAATTCTTACCCACATGGCTGCCAATCAAAGACTGCTTACCTGCAAGGTACTGGTGAGGAAGTTGTTCTGAGAGACAATGTCCACAAAGAAGTCTGGGGGGATCTCACCGAGCTGGTGGTAGAGGATGGAGATGAGGTTGATGTATAGGGTGTGGTGCTTCACCATAGCTTCTTCTGACTGGCACAACAAGTTCAGAAGTCGCTTCCAGTGCTCAAATGCCTCATAAACATTCCCCAGCAGGAAGCATACAAAAGCAAACTGGAGTTCACCTGAAAGGCGCAGAGAAGAGAAATGATCTGGAGAGGAGGAGCTGCCAGTGTGCACTGAGGTCTCTAGAGCACAACATGTACCTTATGCTGTGTGCAAGACAATCAATTCCACCAGACCTTGGCAATAGGTGGCCTTTTATCCTTGTCAGTTCTGCAGAGCCTACCACAGGGTTTTACACCTAGCAGGTGATCTATAAACGTTTATAGAATTTCAATAAATGTAAGTCATGGGAGATGACACTGTGGTACTGGAATTCTGCCAAGTCAGAGTGCAAGGAAAGAGAGGCATACCTAGTATTTACCAGTCATTTAAAAGGTTAACTAAGCATGCCCATGCTAGCTGAATCCCAAACCTCACTGCCTATCAGCTTTATGAAGAGAGTTGGCTAGAAAGGAAATTGTTCAAACCTCATCCCCAGAGTGTATGGTTGAAGACAGATGATGGAGCTTTAGGATCCATAGTTCTACAGAGCTCCCCAAGTGATTCTAAAGCAGATGGTCTGCTCTAGGGTGAGGGAAATGCTGCATTCTAACAGGTATTCCTCAGTCCAGTTCCATGAGGTGGTCAGTATTTACCTCATATTATAGATAAGGCTAAGGGGGTTTATAATGTGGGAGCAATGTGAACAATGGAAAGATAAAACAGATTCCATGGGGAGAACAGTTTTAGAGCTGCTCAGAACAGGAAAATGCATGAGTACTCATTCCGTTGGTAAAACTCTCAGCCACATTTATTTTTATTTAATTATCAGACCTCATGATTTAATATTGAGGCTTGGTGACTAAAAAAATGGGCTCTGAAGCCAGACTGACGGAGTTCAAATCCCAGCTCCAACACTTAGTAGTTACGTGACCTCAGACAAATTTCTTAATCTGCTTATTCCTAAATTTACCTGAGAGAAATAGTGAAGATTAAACAAGTCAATACAGCACATGCAAGCATTTGGAATAAAGCCTGGCATACAGGAGTATTCAATAAATATTAGCTATTATTCTCACATTTCAACCAGAGCCTATCTCAAACAAGAGAGACCTGATGATCCAGAAGCTACTGTCCTTGGCCAAGCAGCAGAGCTGTCCTCCTTAACTTCAAAGGTGACTGTAAATTTAACGAGAGCTCTGTGGTACACATACATGTATATGATAAAAAGAAATTATGTGACCAACACCAAACACCTTTTTCAATGCATAGTGCTTAATCTGTTACCTACAGAAACCTAGAAAAGCTAGTTCCCTGTTCTTTGCCTTGTAGAACTAAATTTGATTTGTCTGACAAGTTGCCAGGCCTAAACACTGTGGACATTTGACCAACATTTTCAAAATAGTCAAATTTTCTTTGTATACTAGAGGCATTTTTGCTTCTTCAGTTGCCTTTGTGAAATTAAAGATGAATTTATTCTCTGAAATTAGGGCATTTGTTTAAGATCATACATTTCTAGACTAGTATAAAATCCTAAGATCAGAAATTATTTCAAAGCACTGTAAGTTCAAAACTATTCTTGTAACAGACCGTTTCATAAGATACACTGCCAAGAACTAAAATGTTTTGGTTTTTTTTTAAAGATAATTTTTATTTATTCTTTTTATGTGTGTACCATCAAATTGGATCTGACTGGTACAGGAGGTGATTGTTCCTCCTTCTTCAGCAGAGCATCTGGTGGATTTGAACCGCATACCTCTGGGATTGCAGTGCAGTTTCCTGCCACTAGGCCACCAGAGCTTGCCAAGAACTAAAATGTTTAAGAGGTGGAAAAAGGTATTTCTATTAATTGTTAAATCAGAATGTCAAGTTACTTATTAAATGAAAATGTTGTATAATGCATCAGATGCACCCACTAAAATGCTACTTATCAGCTGGGCCAATGATAAGCAAATTAACTGGACAACTGTTTTTTACAATGTGTTTTTAAAACTAAAAATTGCCCTTAATATGCGTTTTTTTTAGGAAAAAATACAAACTGTAATTAAAAATGTTAAAATTGCTGTTACTAGTAATCTAAGTATAGCTCTGGTGGTAAGGAGTTGCACCGTCAACCAAAAGATTCACAGTTCAAATCCACCAGCTGCTCCATGGAGGAAAGATGGGCAATCTCCTCCCGTGTGATTTATTGCCTCTGAAATTTCACTGCAAGGTCAGCTAGGAGTCAGTTCTGGCTCAAAGATACCCAATAACAACAAAAAGAGCAATCTAAAAGCTATAAATTAAAGCAAGATGCCATTTCCAATAATTCAGTTGGAAGAGAGCTGTGTTAAATCACCATGCCTAATGCTGTCAAAGGTGACTAACAGGTTCCCATCTGCTGGACAGAATGCAACATGCTTCCTCCAACACTTCTAATTGTAAATGTGTACACATGAGGAAGCTCCACAATTTACACTTGTAGCAAGGAAAAAATAGGAATGTCTTAAAGGCCCATCAACAGAGGGTTGGTTCAGTAAACACTAAGTGATCACTAACAAGAAACTACTGAGCCAGTAACATGGAAAATTGTTCCTATGAAAGCAGATTAGAAAAAAGATACACTTTAATGTTATTATTGTAAAGAAAGATATATAGACAGAAACAAATATAATTAAAAAATGACTACAAAGAAATGCATAAAGAAAGGAAAAACAAAAGACTAATAAGAAGCACATATATAAAGACACTAAAAAATAAAAATGGTTATTTCTAGGTGGGTTGTGATATGGAGTGGCTTTTGTTTTTCTTCTATGATGAACATACATTTTTTTGAATATGAAAAAATAGTCCCAACAATAAATAAATAATCACTATTGTATTCTAAGCCAATGGAGAGACAACATCTTGATAGTTAGGAGCAAACTGAGGGGCCAAGTGAGAAGCTACTAAAAAAGTTTTAAATTCTGGTCTCAGTTCAACCACTCAGTTGCTCAGATTCTTTCCCTCTCTGGGCCTCAAAATGTAAAATGAGAAGCTGGACTACATCAGTGGTTCACAAAAGCAAGACTGAGATTCACATAGTGTGAGAGTCCCTACTTCAGATATCCTGAATCAAAATCCTCCAGTGTGTAAGGTCTTGGGCATCTTTGACAAGTTTACTGGGGAGATGGTTGCCTGGCCAGGTTTAGAAACCACTGAACTAGATAATTCAAGGCTCTATAACACCTAGCTTAAAATCCCAGGGCCCAGTCTCAAAGAGCTTTGTTTCTTCTCACCGAGCACATCCTGGGGGCTGCTGGGGAACTGCTTGCTGAGCACTGTTTCTAAGGCATAGCTCAGGTCCATGCTATGCCTGGTTATCTCTGCTGGGGTAGCACCATCAGGGTACATCTGTGTAGGGAGCTCTGAGAAGCGGATCTCTGTACCAGCTCTAGGCTTCATTTCAGGCAGCCTAGCTAGGCCTTCCTGGTAGTTTTTGCACTCAGTGCCACACTGGGGAAGATTCTGCTCTACCCGATCTTTGGTATGTCTCATGGAGAGCACAGGCAGCACATCGGAGAAGGCACAGATCTGCCGGGTCTCAGGCTGCAGCCTCTCCATCATGGCCTCACTGATGAAGTTGGTGAGTGAAATCCACTTCTTGAGCGTGGCATATGGGTATGGTCCCAGAAACTGGTCCAGCTCCTGGAGGTTGGCCCTCATGGCCTCTACCTCGGCCTCTGGGGCTGGGGAAAGGTCCACCTCTTCCTGAACTGCATTCCAACGCAGGACTGTCAACCCCCGCTGCTGCAGGTGAAGGAAGAAGCCCATTCGAGGGCCCACGTCCTTGGGATTGGACTTGTCTACTGAGCTGTAGTGGAAGAAGTGAATGCCTGGAGGAATCATCTTCACACCCCGGAACTTGGGTCCCACCTCCCATGAATTGTAGTCAATGCCAAACTCTGTCCCCTTGGGCATGTTCAAAATGATCACAGTGGCTCCTTCAAAGAAGAGGCGCTTGGCAAGTTCAGGATCCATCTGCATGGTAGCCATGAGGCTACTGGTGGGTATTCAAAAGGAGAATCCTTCTTCCTTGCCTTTGAAAACAGCTGAAAAGGAAAGAAGGAAACGTTAAATAGAACTTGGAGAAGCACGCCTCATTTGCTGAGCAGTCTCTGTGCCCGACATGGATTTAGACCCCTGACGTAATAATCTCTTTTAATCCTTACCACAATCCTGTAGGCAAGAATTAGGAATCTCATGTTACAGATGAGGAAAATGAGGCTGAGAAGAGGATTTTTATGTTTTGGTTCAACGAGAAAGAACACTCATTTCACAGCTAAAAAGATACGGGTTAAAGAGCAATATACACGGTTAAACAAGGATCTAAATTAGAACCTGGGTAGCCTACTCTTCAGTCCAGTGTTTTTTCCCTGCTCATTCCTAAAAGCTACTATAAGAGCACTCTTTTTCCCCATAGGTTATCCTAAATTGTAACTGCCCATAAACTAGTGCTTGAGAATCTCAGCAAATCTGGGAATGAGGATTAAATCAAATGCATATCCCAATTTCCACAAACCTCTGGAAGACTCAGAACTTGAGAGGTTACGACTAAGACACTATGACTGTTACCAAGGATGAGAAGAGGGAGAGAGGAAAGTAAAAATTAATAGATATGCTGAGTGAAGAGAAAGGCAGTAGACAATCAAGAGTTGATTAGAAACTGCAACTAATTAATCAATTAAAATTCTGTAATGTCTGAATGACTGCATAAAAAGCTAATATGACTTTATAATCTTTCACTCAAATAAAAATAATAATAAATAAGCAACTAGGACATTATGGAAAGTAGGTACTTATATATCGACAGAAGGTCTGAATGGAGAGCTTAACCACAAACCCTCTTATTTGTAAAAAATCTTAACATGAGATGAACAACATAGTATCACTATATGGAGAGATAGAGCAGGATTTGTAGAAATCAGAACTGCACAGAGAATGTGGGTAAGTTCAATTACTTTGTGGGTATTTTAATTAATGTTATAGAAAACGCTTATGAATGGTTGAATGAAAAAATCAATCTGCATTGTGAACTTTTACTCATATCACAATTAAAAAAAAACCATACAGCTAAAACCCTTTACAGTCCAGGAGGTAAAACAGCTTCCTAAAGAGCCCACAGCCAGGAGCAGCTCTGAATTACTTGCCCAGAGTGGATTAAAGTGGCAAAGTTAGTATAAGATCTATATTTACAAGAGAGAATGATGAGACTGCTTATTTCAACTACTACTCATGAGGATACACTGATAAAAACCTTTGTAATTTAAATCTAACAATTATCTAACCATAAAGTCTCAAGACATCTACTTATTCAACAAATGTTCACCGAGTGCAAGGACCTTTGCTAGACACTAAAGGAAATATCCAGAGTAAGATGACAATCACTGCTCTCAAAAGATGTACCCTCCAGCTGGAAACACAACCAAAATCTGGATATATAAACATGACTTTTATACTTCACACACAAACCGTTTAATCCTATGTGCTCTCCTCTCCCACTCTTAAAAAAAACCCCACCCAAAATAGTGAGGTAAAGGAGGTCAATCCCTATACAAAAATATTGAAAGCCTATTTAATTTTTCTGACCAAAAAAATAACTACAAATAACTTTCTTAATCTGTCCATTTATCCCAGTGTTCATTAACAGGTTATGAAATTAGTTTAGACTTTCAAGTAGCATTTTCTCTTAATAAAAGAAAAGAAAAATCCAAGAGAGTTCTGGTGGCCTAGTAGCAAGAAGCTGCGCTGCAATCACAAGGGCTCATGGTTCAAGATCACCAGCAGCTCCGCGGGAAAAAGATAAGACAATCTCCTCTGAAAACCCGCTGGAGGGTAGCCATGGGTTGGCTCTGACTCTACTGTACGCAACAACAACAACAACAAAAAACCCAACAAAAAATCCATCACAAAAGTACTTGTTTCTTGAGGTTCGCTCTCTTCTTTTTTGATGCAACTACTCTAAAACATGTTTATCTTCAGTTTTCTAACCTCTAACCTGAATACAGGTGGCCTACTGGCAAAAAGCTGCACTGCAATCCCAAAGGCACGCGGTTTGAGGCCACAAGCCGCTCAGCAGGAGGATGGGCAAACTCCTCCCCTGCAACTATCTGCATCTGAAAACCCGCTGGAGGGTCAGCTACAGGACTTCACAAATATTTGTTGGACGAACAGGCAGTCCAGTTAGAAGAGCTGTTGACCAGTTAAGTACCACCCATTTCCCTTTGTGGCATCTGTGAGCTCCCCTTTAATAGTGACCAGTCCTTTTATTCGAATCTCACTAGCCTGTAATTCTGTTTCTCTAGTACACAAGGCCTGGGAATAGGATTCAAGAATAGGCAAAGAACTCTACAGCCTACCAATCCATCTCCCTTAAACGCTGCGTGTTCCCCAGCGCTGGAACCCAGAAAATCATACCCATCCACTTCTCCCCACCAGCTCCCCCGACACCACTCGCATCCCCGCATCCCTCACCCCGGGAGCGCTTATCCCTCCAATCATTCGCCATACCCCGGCCAGAGTGACCTTTCCAAAATGCCCATCTAATCAAGTCACCACCCACACTCCTCATCAAACCCTCGGGAGCTTGGGAACCGAAAATCTTCGCGTGAACTACAAAGCCTTCATGGTCTGGCTCCTGGCAACCCCTCCGACTTCCTTTCATTCCCGGTTCTCCCCCAAGCGCTCAGTTCCAGCTACACTGGTCTCTTTCAGATTCGCAAACAAGAGGCTTCTCCTAAGTAGAATGTTTTTGCCTCTCCTCTCTGCCAAGCCATTTCTCGGCTCTCATCTCTGGAACCACATCCTCCGCCGACGCCCCTGACCCCGCGGCCAGGTCAGGTGTCCCGGGATAACTCGGCGCCCTCAACCCTTCCTCACGTTGTTTGATAGACGGCTGTCACTTCTACGAGACTTGAGTCCTTCTGTTCACTCTATCTCTGATTATGGCACATGTTACCACACTTGATAACCATTTATTAGTAAAATTATGATCTCCATTTTGTAGACGAAAAACAAAGGCTCGCTGCGGGGAGAGACTTTTCCCAAAGTGACACAGCGAGTAGGGAAGAGACAAGTCAGGCGCAGTCAAGGTCTGGACCTCCACGCTCTACAGTTAAGAAAAAAAGGGTCGAGGCCCCAAATCCTGGCGGAAAGTGACTTTTACAGAATTCCACTCAGGGAATTCTCTAGAGACGCCAGCGTCCCACCACCATCCGGCCTACAAACCCAGAGGTGGCCGCCGCGGTTTAGTGGATTGAATTCAGGTCACTTCGTGGTCCCTTGGTCAGTAAGAGCGGTGGTCTCGTACACGCAGGCAACGAAAGAACAGCAGAAAAAAAAAAAAAGAAACTAGGAGGCTGCACTCACCACGAGCCGCCTCACCCCCAAGCTCCCTCACGCCGGAAAGGAACCGGAACTTCCCGCTCTCCTGAGTCGGATGGGAGCAACAGAGAAAGCAGTCCCGTGCAACTCGCGGTGATGGAAGAACGTACCGTGCCTGCAGGTTCCGCCCCCATTATTTGGTTTTTGCTACTTCCTCTTGTTAGGGATTGCTGGTGATTTGCATCCACCAGCTGATCCACGTGAGAAAGGTAAGCAGTCTCCTCTTGTGCGATATACAGACTTGGAAAATCTCTCCCTAGAGGGTCAGCTTTGAGGAGGCAATTTCAATGGCGACATCATATTACAACATCATCCTGTATAGGTGACATCGAGTAGACAAGTGACTCTGAAGTACAGATCTGAACCGTGCCATCCTCTTAGCTACTTGGTTTTGTTCCTTAATTGTAGTAAAATCTTCCAGTAAGTTCTCCCTCTTCAAACTCCCTATCCGTAGTAGCTTGGTCTCAAGAAATCGTGGTCCTTGAAGCTGAGGTTCAAGGTTTTGGTTGCCTAGTAGTGATTGATGTGCTCAGTCATGGCTCTGTTCAACCAATTACTGTCTGAGTCACCGTGTCACAACTGGCCTGTTACCACCAGTCTCAGCTGCCAACTCAGGAAGAACCAGCCTAGGCAGCTATTAGAATTGCCCAGTAAATTCCTTCAGCCATAATCATCTAGTGATCTTCACAGCTCAGGCTCCCTCTGGTATTTCAGACAGGTTATCCATCTGAGGGTTGTCTATTCTCTACAGTTTTCCTGAGACCTAGTGCAAAGCAGACACAAAAACTCAACGTGGTACAAATACTATGTAATTAATAATGATAGCAATTTGATACTAATAAGTGGTTCCCATGTCTCTGCCTAACCCTAGTGGCCTAGAAAGTTAGATGTCTAACTACTAACAAAACGATCAAGCCCACCAGAACCAACCAGCTATTCTGTGAGAGAAAAGATGAGGCACTCCAGTTAAGAGTCTCAGAAATATGATAAAGGATAACCATGAGTTTGAATCAGCTTAATGGCACTGGGTTTGGTTTGCTTATTTATGTATGTATGTATGCATGCATGCATGTATTTATCTATGTATGTATTTAATTATTAATTTATTTATGCATATAGCTCTGTGCTGTTGTAAGGAGTTCAGAAAACAAAACAAAAAAAAAAAAAAACAAGGCCAGCAGGAGATAAAGAGTTTTATATAAAAAAATTTGCTTATGCTTTTGTGAAGACTGGAGTGGCAAGTCTGAAATCTGTAGGTCAGGCCATCATGAAAAGCAGTCTATTAAGGAAAGGCAAAGTGGAACTCGATGAAACATGCCAAGACAGCTATCCAGAGCTGGATTTGTGTATCTTCAGAGAAGTCTTGATTCTGTTTTTAAGGCCTTTCAACTGATTTGACCAGGCCCACCCAATTATCTAGAATAATCTCTTTTACTTAAAGTCAAATGATTATGTACTTCAGTCACATCTACCAATTAGCTTCAGAACAACACCTTGATTATGGTTTGATTTAAAAGTGGGAAGTGTACCCTGGCCAAATTAACACAACAAAAATCTATCACAGTGTTGCATTCATACTGTTTAATCTATATAGCCACCCTGGGAAGTATACC